AAAACGTGCAATGCATTAATCGTAGACTAAAGTCTCTACCCTCCAGTACAGTGCATTTAGATATTATTGACTCTCAGACGGTCCCAAATTATCATTAACAGAGAGTGCAAACATTATCAGCGACCGAGAGTGCAAGAAGGAGAGTCACCTGATTATCAGCGACCAAGAGTGCAAACATTATCAACAACCGAGAGTGCACGAAGGAGAGTCACTTGACCAGCCCTAATGGCCCGTACTGTATTTCGTAGACTATAAGTAGCGCCGATAGTTGGCGACCAAGAGTAAAATGGCATCAACTTCTTTTCCCATCAACCACCACCAACCTTCAACCATCCTTCTTCCCTCTGCCCCGCTGACCTTCTTATATATTATTAGTCTTTACATGGGGCGGCACTAATGCGTAGGGTCGACTGTACCTGTACACCGTTAACAGGATTTAGTGAGGTTGTTAAATAGTGTCGCCCGGGAATTAGTATAGGCTATCCTGAATATTGTGCGGCGACTTCCCGGCCTTTAAGCCAGATAATTTGCCGCTAGGAAACCCCCAACGGTCTTAAAGAATTTTTCCAAAACGGCAGTAATGTAGGTTGTACTGTATTTATCCGTACACCCCATAATAGCATTGGTACGGAATTAGTATAGGCTACAAGTAGGCTCCGTGCGCGCTTCGCGCGCCGAGACAAGTCCGCGTGGAGGAGCGTGCATCTTTCCCCGCCACCACTATCGTCACGTTTCTCACGCTCTCCCGCGCCGCAAACACCACGCCCGTCCATATCACCGCCCGTCCATGTCACCGCCCGTCCATGTCACCGCCCGTCCATGCTCCTCCCCCGTCCACGCCCTCCCCCTGTCCGCGCACTCCCATTCGTCCATACCCTCCCACCCGCTCTCGCACATCGCGCATCGCCCGTCCATGCCACCGCCCGTCCATGCTCCCCCACCCGTCCACGCCCTCCCCATGTCCACGCATTCCCATCCGTCCATTCCCTCCCGCCCACTCGCGTTGCACACCAGGGTCGCCCCGCACTCCTCCTCCTCCTCCTCCGCCTCGCCACTCTGGTACATCGCGCACTTCAGCGGCAGCTCACACTAGCCACCTGCCCCGTTCCAGTGGCGCGCCTCCCCGTCCGGCATGGGCGTCTGGCACATGCCCGCGCCAGGGCACTCGACGGGCCGCGGAGTGGCGGCCTACCCCGCGCGGGCGTCGTCGCGCGGGTGGCACGCGGCGCAGAAGTGGGTCCTGAAGAGGCAAACGTAGCGCGCTCGCGCAGCAGTAGCGGCACGCTTTGTTTGTCTCTCAATACCTTCCCGTCTGCGCTTCCGGTCTCTGTCACTCCTCGCATCCACTGCCATACTCATACCGACCTGTCCTCCCACACCCCCGCGGGGACCCAACGATATCGCCACGCACCGACGTCTTCACGCCCTTGGCCTGCTGTCTTCTTCTATGCTATACTCATCGAGTTGAAATTCTCTCCGAAGACGAAAACGCCGGCAGAGTAACAAAGATGCAGCATGCACGTCGTGATGAGCCTCAACAAATGCCCGTGCAACCATTGACCAATTTCTTCCGCAGTCGTTCCCAGCACCTTCCCGTGCATTCCAGCAGGGTCATCACAACCCACCAAGCCAGCACAGCTCCGATCCCAATATCCCCACTCACCACAACCGCGCCTCCACT